CCGGGTTATCGTCGCAGCTCTTCAGCTTCGGTGGAATACGAGTCGGAGGATTCATAGTACTTATTAATTCACGAAACCATGACACGTCGAGGAGAATTTGAAGTCATGCATTTTTATCTAGCAGGTGAAAAAAGAACTCTCTGCCTGGGAGTCGAACCCAGCTTTCGCGCGTGACAGGCGCGTGTACTAACCGATATACTAGCAAAGACATATTAGGGAGCCACTTTCAGGGAATCACATCAGGCAGTGACTGGTTGACTGAAGCTCCTTAATAGAGCTCGACGACGATCCTGGAGGCGGCGGCTTAGAATCGCTGCTGTACGTTAACCGTATATATATTCCCAAATCAACATTTGTTTGCATTTGGCCATTCAACTCAAAAAATGATCTATCGAACAAGGAGAGAGGCCAGGGCAGCTAGAGACCGCTGTTAAGTAACACAGATATGTCCGAAGTACGTGGTATGGTTAACTGTAACTTCACGGATTACCAGCAGATTACCAGTCATATATATCCAGCTGCAGCAGTCACACGCAGTCTCAATTGCCGCTCTGATTCACTCTCAGAATCATGATACCTCATCTCCGGCAAAACCTCATACAGTGCACTTGTCAATCGGGTTGAAACAGCATATAACAGATCATCAATGAGGTTCGAGATACCGACAACCGAAACGGGAAGTGATTCCCAAATTTGCTCATATTATTCCCACACAAGGTTTTGAGCACCATCACTGTCAATCCGCTCTGCTCTCGGACTCCATGACCTTTCACTCTCCATCTTCATGGAAGTCAATTATTACTTGTAGACCCAAAAGACAGGCTCTTCTGCGATACCTCTCTACCAACGCGAAAAATGTCGTCGACAACAAGGCCTTTACCGATACCTTGCTGCTTCCGAAAACTCCGTTTCCGTTGAGGGCAGATTTGAAGGAGAACGAGGCTAGATATGGCGACTTGACACGCGAGAATCTGTACAGGTGGCAGGTATGGACTACCTATGTTGTAAGAGCTTTTTGACTGACTGGGAAGCGTATAGTCGGAGAATGTGAAGGGACCGGTTTTTGTATTTCATGACGGACCCCCATATGCTAATGGCGACTTGCACATGGGTAAGCTATTCAGAATTTTACTGTGAATCCTTCTGAAGTATTATGTATAGGGCACGCGCTTAACAAGGTGGTCAAAGACATCATCAACCGCTTCCACCTATTACAAGGGCGTAGAATACAGTACGCCACCTTTCGCGCCTTCGAAACCCTGCAATACGCTGAATTAACGCGTTAGTTACGTGCCAGGATGGGATTGCCATGGTCTGCCGATTGAAAATAAAGCAATGAAAGATATGGGGGTACGCGTTGTCCCCTCGTCCATGTTATGCTTCTCATTGTCTTTTAGCGGAACCCGTTGGACACACCAGCTTCGGTTATTCGTAAGGGTGCGGAGGCCACCGCATTGCGGGAAGTTGATTCCCAGAGGGAGCAGTTCCGGCCGTTAGGAATCATGGCTGATTGGTATTCGAAAGACGGCACCTATCGCACTTTGGGTGCGTGCTTCGACCTCGACTTCCTTTCCCGCATTACTCACTCTTTCTAGATCGGCACTATGAAATACGACAACTCCGCATCTTTCAGAAGATGGTAGAAAAAGGTTTGTTGATAAACGAGACGCGTCCAAAAAACGTATTTATGATTTTTGATTTATTTAGGCCAGATCTACCGACAGCATCGCCCCGTGCACTATTCTCCATCTTCACATTCAGCCCTTGCCGAAGCAGAGTTGGAATATAAAGATGATCATGTATCCCACTCTGTGTATGTGAAATTCGACTTGGAGTCGGCTTCTGTCTCGAGTAATCTCGCACTTGGACAATTGGTGGAACGAGAGCCGGTTCAACTACTGGTGTGGACCACGACACCATGGACATTGACAGCGAACATGGTCTGGCTTTCTCTTCGTCTCTCCTAACAATCATTCATCATCCCATCCAGGGCATCGCAGTGCACGAAGAATTGGTTTATGAGGTTGTTCGGCATGCTGGAGGAATGTTGATCGTAGCGCGAGACCGACTGGAGCACCTCGCAAAATTCTTGGGAGCGACCGAGAGTATCGGTAGCATCACGGGTACGTTCTCCCCGTGGACACGTTGGACCGAAAAAAATCTCATAAACCTTAGGGACGGACCTCGTTGATCTCTCGTACAAACCTCTTTTCACGGCTTCGACTCAGCTCCTTAAAATCATACACGCGCCTCACGTAACTGCACTCTCTGGAACTGGTCTCGTGCACTGCGCTCCAGCACATGGCGCCGAAGATTACGATGCCTTCCGCGAATTGGGCCTCCTTTCTCCTGCCAACACCTCCAACGGCCTCCTTTGCCATGTTAATTCCAAGGGCCAATTTACCCATGATGTGGCAGACGTCGTTGGCACAGAGTACGCTGAACGGCTTGCCGGAAAGGAGGTTCTGGGAAATGGGAATAAGGAAATGGTCATGCTTTTGAAGGACGCTGGGAAAATCGTGAAAATCGAGAGGATCAAGCACCGATATCCGTACGACTGGAAGACTAACGAGCCCATTATCGTTACGTGAGTTAGAGCGTCTTTACCATAAGCAACTTTCTGACAGAAGCATATGATGATAGAGCGACTTCGCAATGGTTTGCGAATTTGGATTTTATCAAGGAAGACGCATTGAACGCTCTGAAGGATGTCTCATTTTTCCCCGAAGGATGTAAGTAAATCTAATTTCATGAAGCGGTCCCTAAGTCTGACATAACTTTTCTTCAAATAATCAAAAAAAAGCTAGAAACCGCTTAGAATCTTTTGTCCGTTCTCGCTCTGAATGGTGCATTTCGCGTCAACGTGCATGGGGTGTCCCGATTCCCGCCTTGCACCACATCGAGTCCGGCCGCGTCGTGCTTGACTCGCCGACACTCGACTATATCATTAACGCCCTCGAGCAGAAAAATCTCGATTGGTGGGGATCGCCCGTCGAAGAATTCGTCCCGCCTGAACTTTTGGAAAGCGGGAAATCGGCAGCAGAGAAATGGGAGAAGGGACGCGATACGATGGATGTATGGTTTGACAGCGGCACGTCGTGGTCGATGCTAGTAGAGATGGGTGTTGGTCGCGATTGTTCTGCTTCTGGGGGTAGTGGAGGAAGGAAGTTCCATGCCGACTTGTGCCTGGAAGGCTCAGATCAACATCGAGGGTGGTTCCAAAGCCAGCTGTTGACGGCGATTGGGTCTCGTGCTCCTGGAGAAGAGGCGGTTAGCCCGTATGCGTCGCTCATCACGCATGGCATGGTCCTCGATGAGAAGGGCAAGAAAATTAGCAAGTCACTAGGTAATATCATCAGTCCAACGACACTTCTCTATGGCTCCCCCGTATGTTTCCTTTTTTGTCTCCTATCTCCTTCCACGGATGCTTATGCCAACTTCGTAGGACAAAAAACAACCGGCATATGGACCTGACCTTCTCCGTCTCTGGGCGGCCAGTGTCGATTTCTGGAAAGACATGTCGATAGGTCCAACAGTTATCGCCCAGGCCAACGAATCTCTGCGTAAATTACGCAATACAGCACGTTTCTGCCTGGGAAATATGGGCGATAGAGAGCGAATGGCTACGATGGAGCGAGTGCCACGTGCCGAAATGGGTCTGGTGAGTGTTGTTGGGCCGCCTCTCATCTCTGGAGGTTGATAAATTCATATTCGATTTGACAGCTTGAAAAATATGTCATGCACGAACTGTATACCCTGGAGCAAACCGCGTTAGAAGGATATAAATCATATAATTTCCCAAAAGGTAGGAGAGTCTTTCAATCCACAAATGTAGAGCTGTTGATCATCTGACGCATTCCTTCATGAAGTAATCCATGCCCTTAATAATTTCGTGAACATCACCTTGTCTTCTTTCTACTTCGACATCACCAAAGACTGCCTCTATGCAAATCGCGTTGAGAGCCACGAGAGGAGGGTCGTGGTTGCCGTCCTAGAACAGGTTATTCCGATCCCAAAACCCTTTTCACAAACGAATTTACGAATCAACGGTTTTAGATTCTGGGCACGTTGTCCAAAGTCGTAGCTCCGGTGCTTCCATATCTTGCGGAAGAAATTCATGCCACTTGGAAAGGTGACGGGAAATCGATATTCATGACGCCTTGGACACCTTTGGTGCGAATTTATTAGCTTTATTTAAACTGCTGACTTTATCTGTGATGACGATGATTGCGCTTAGAGCGACGAATGGAAAGACCAACAAGCGTTCGATGAGATGACGACGCTCCTTGCACTTCGAACGAATGTGCTCTCTTTGTTGGAGAATGCCCGCCGCGAACAGTGAGCCTTTTCTTATCATGATTTTTTCTAGGCGTATTCCTTACGCAGAGCCTTTTCAGACGCATCAGGAGCTCTTTGGAAGCCGGTATCAATCTCACACTGCCTAATCTTGAACAGGCTCCTCCATTTGTCCAACTACTGAGACGCGAAGGTGAGAATTAACCCGTCATTTCTCGATTTTAGCACTCGTATCTCAAGAACGGCGCCCAGAAACATTCTTGAAAACTCTGTGTATCGTCTCAGATACTCAATTACATGAAGGGGAGACATCGCAGGAAAACGCTGCCCTTTGGTCTTATACTAGCTCGTTCTCAATGCCTGGTGGGTCTTGCACGGAGTACCATTTGCATCCAGCCGTACTGACGGTTCTCCATCGCACAGGATCGGAAATACCTTTACTGGTTCACGTTCAACCAGCGCGTCAGTCGAAATGTCCGAGATGCTGGACATATACTCGGCCATCTGACGATATTATGTGTGGCAGATGCGCGGGCGTTGTGGATGACCTACATCATGTACATTCGTAAAGAATTCATAATCCGTCTTGTAAAAAAAAGGGGTTAGTAAAGGGAGATCTTGATTGCTGAGTCTAACATGTACCAGCAGCCTATATGGACATGGTAGCTCATTTTATCTTGAAAAAAGATGAGCCGATCAGAAAATTCGGGTACGGGGAATCGAACCCCGAGCTGCCGCGGCACTCTGCTAATGAGAGGCGGCAATGTTAGCCGTTACACCATACCCGACATACTCTCAGTAGGTAGAGACTCCTTATTAATCACCTTGTCGAATTGATTTGAACCACCGTTATCGCCCATTCCTCCATTTCGCAATTCGCAATACGCATAGTATACACACGAGTACAAATTCCACCAATATTAATTCGCACACAACCTCCCCCTAATCTTATGCAAAATACGCCGTCAACCCATCATACACCACGAAAATAATTCCACTGCTTGGAACCGCCCTCGCCACCGTCATCCCACACCCAGCATACAGCCCGCGCACACCATGGCGCTTCCACATCTTTCGGAACGTCCCCAGGAACGAGCTCGCACCGGCATTCCTCCGAGCTCCATGCGGCCTCTGCTCCTCCTCAGTCTGTATCGCGCTCTTCACCGTATCCGCAGGGTAAAACATCAACGCACCCACCGCGCCCGCTATAGCACCTGACGCCGCCGACTCCCACGCCAGCAGCTCGGTGTTCGTCGCCGTGGCACTGCTGGTGCTGGTGCTGGAGTGGTGTGATGGATCCCGCCGGACCCGATGCGCGACCAGTTTCCGAGCGACGTACTCTTTGGAGACGAACCATGCGGCGGTGCCGCCTGTTTCGCGCACGAGGGTGCCGGTGTGTCCTAGCCATAGCCCTCGCACGCCGTACGAGACGACGATGGACCGGATGAGAGCTATAGGGCCCGGTGGGCGGAGGGCGGTAGCAGCTGTTCCTTCGATGACGGCAGTAGATTTGTACGCGAGGTCGTGGATGGAGTGTCGTCCGGTTGGAATTAGTGTTGGAATGGGGGGTTTAAATTTGGACAAATGTGAAACAGAGTGGGTATGTGTATGTGTTTGCCGTGTTGATGATGGAGGTGGGGGTGTATACGAAGAAGACGAAGGAGACGATGAAGAGGGAAGAATGGGGACAGCACGACGGGGTATTCGCCCAGGCGCGGCTGGTGCTGGTTTTACGGGATGAAAATTCATCATCTGGACCTGCATCTTGCATTTGACTAGCTCTATTGGTGTCCTGTAGCCAAAAAAAAAAAAAAAGGAACGACAGAAAGAACGAAGGTAAAAAAAAACAAATATCGGTCAACCAAAAAAGCAATCCAAAAGAAGAGAAGGAAAAGAGACGAACAAAACGAAACTTGTCAAGAACCCCGCTCCACCAGCAGCCAGCCCAAGTTGGGGTATCGTAAGAGGTTCCGTCGTCTTCGACGAAGTGAACGTCCGAATAACATTTTGAAAAGCCGAATACGCAAGAAACAGGGACGCCGTCTCAGCCATCGAACCAACGATTGGCGCTGGCAATCCCTATATAGTCAAAAAAATAATCATCCAAACCCGACCCACTAACATATTGAAAGAGCAGAACACGAACCCGATACAACCCTTGCACACCCTCCTGCTTCCACGTCTGCATCAAACAATCCATGGGTCCGTTGAACCGCACCACACTCGAAGACGAGGGCGTTAACAGCTGCGCCTGCAGCCGGACCTTGGCCAAATCAAAAGGGTATTCAAATATCTCCGCAACCATGCCTGCTATCTGTTAAGTTGGTTAACAATTTTGGTACACAACGCAGAAGGTAGACAGACAGACGCACACTTCCAAACATGATATCCTTCGCAGCTCCTTTCGCCGTGATAATTGGCTCTTCCCCGCCTACATGGTCTATCGAGGTCGACGCAGTGATCTCGCCAGCTTGCAGCGTCGACATTCTAAAGTCCCGAGTTCTAAGTTTCCGTTCGTCGGAAACTTTCTAATAGGTCTATGTGTAGTCCGGGATTAGATTTATGGGGGAAGAAGATGATCATGTGTGGCGGAAAGCCATAGAAAGTGGAGGCTTTCCAAGTTGAAGTTATAAATGAAGCTGGGCTGCCGGACACTTGCGTAGGCCGAAAGAAATTTTGATCACGTCAGAACGACCGACTCCGAAAAAGGCACTTGGCATCCACACGTTTCGTATCACACAATATTTTCATTGAAATTGTAGGGCCGTTTGAGTCTCTGAAAAATGCGATAAAACGCGAATAATATGTACAACACCCTCCCGGAGGGCTTCCTGGTCTTTTTTGCTTCATTCTCAGCCGACTCATCTAGGGTTTGATGGCGATCTTGAGCGCAGTCCGGCTGTTCATCTTATCCAAAGCAGCTTGATAATCGTCGAGCTTGAAAACATCGGTCACCATGCCCTTGACGTTAATCTTTCCACCGTCGAGGTAAGCAACAGCGCGTGGGAAGCAGAAGGTTTGCGAGAAAGATCCAATGATCTAAAGAGGGGATGATTAACGCGATTCGGCCCAGTTTGGAAACGAATAAATTACCTTGATTTCGTCTCCGAAGATCTACGAGATGTATTCATGAGTACTATGATCATATCTAGACAAATGGAAGACGAAACGCACCTTCGACGGTGGCCAGTGGACCAAGGCCTTGTTCTCATACACCCCGTAAATCATCAGAGTTCCCCCACGTCGCACGTAGTTGATGCTTTCATTAGCCAACTTCTTTACTCCAGTAGCCTCAACGACCACATCAAATCCATAAGGATTATCGTCCTTGAGCTTTTGCCACTGCGCTTCAGGGGCCTTCCGATCCAACTCGATATACTCATCGGCGGCGTTGATCTTTTTCGCAATGTCCATCTTGATGCCCTTGTTAGCTGCGATAACGACACGGGAAGCTCCGTTGAGCTTGAGCAACTGCGCGAGAATCAACCCCGTTGGTCCAGCCCCGAGGAGGAGAACCTCAATCCCAACTGGTGGATTTAGTTTGTCAAGACCGTGGATCGCACAAGCAGCTGGCTCGAGAAGGGTCGACTCCTCGTCAGTGAGATTGTGGATCTTGTACAACTTCTTCTGTTGGCTAAGAAATCCTCGAGTTAAACAATCGAACCATAGGATCCGGAAGACACTTACTATTTGATATACTCCGCAAATCCTCCATCCTGCGTAACTCCGCAAGCATGGAAATCCTCGCACAGAAGGGATTGACCGCGACGGCAGTAAAAGCAAGTGTCACACTGTCGAAATGTGAATTGATGGCGTCATTAATCGGCAGATCAAGAAAGGAACATGAATTGAATGAAAGGAAGGTGAGTTCCTGTGTGGCGGTGCAACGGAAGGACTGACCGTGATCCCAACATCGGCGACGCAGCGATCGCCAATGGAGAAACCCTTGACGTTCTTGCCCATCTCCACGATAGTGCCAATCGCTTCGTGCCCAGGAATCAGCTACGGATGGTGTTAGCGCTAATGTTCTTCAGTTTAAATAAGACGACTTGCGGGAAATTTTGAAATAAATTCTCCCTGTGCGAATAGTGTGAGCGGTGCAAGGGATCAGAAAAAAACGAAATGTATACCTGATCAATGTGTCCGTCTGTTCCGCAGATACCTGTACATCAAAAAATCAGGACACCGACTGAATATCGCAGGGCCGTCGTTGCTCACCGCAGCAGCTGACTAGAGAAGACGTCATTGAGTTATTCACAACGAATAAAAGACGCATATATTCACCTTTCAAAAGGACTTCATCATCGTTTATCTGGGGGATTGGAACCTGCTTGATCACGAAATCCCTGGGCTTCACACACCGGTCAGTAAAACGCGTCATCGACGGACCATTAACGCGCATATACACACCGCGTTGTACCAGAGCGCTTTCATCGTTCCTTTTGTCATGGTTAGGGGAGGTGGAAGGGGTTAAGAGAGATAGTAAAGGTTCAAGGTACGTGGTAAAAGGGAGAAACACCGGACGGCTAGGACTCGACGCTTAAATACAGCTGGCGCTCCACCTTCACGTGCCCCGAACCCGACGAATGCGCGCTTCGGTATTATCGATACGGTAACCACCTTCTCAATGGGCCTTTGCACGGCGTGTATGTCGGCATTCTAGAAACAATCTCGCGCTCGAATTCTATATTTTTCGCGTTCCTCTCTCACCATACCAGGTTCTTGCCAAAAACATCATAATAGAACCATCTTTTCTGGGACATCATCCAATGAGGAGAATCAAAGATATCTCCAGCTCGCCGATAATCAAAAACTCTTGGTAATGTGATATTGTCCAGCTCCACAAAATCGCGGCCAAGCGGCCTGGTGATGAATGACGTCGTTCCAATCAAACGCGGATAAAGTTCAACGGGGTTCAACGGGCGTTCGGGTGCCCACATTGCACCGAACGCAAGTCTGTACAGGGCATTCCGTCTCAGCCATTATTTGGAATTCACGTCGTTGTTCTTGTCCGAGTCGCGTATCTCTTGCACTTTCATCGCTCCAGAGGGGTCGCGCTATCCGAGTCATTCATCCGAACGGTGATCCCAAGTACCTCTAGAAAAATTCATGACCATTATACACGCAAGAGAATCGAGAATTATAAGTATAATACCCAAGAAAATACCAAAATCACGTCGTTGGAGCTTGGTACTGTATTTAGCGCCGGGTTCAGGAACCATCATCTGTCCTTGAACACTGAATCGGTTGAGCGCTAGTCCAAAGTTTCATTCAATTCGTCATCGCTACTAGTCTATAAGGTACGTAGCTCATAGTACAATATTTACACTACGTAACTTCGTATTTTATGGAATGTCAACAAGAAATATGCCTTATCACATCCAAGAAATTAGCAATTGAAAAAACTAATCTACATACCTAATCTTTATATTCATCGTTATCTCCACGGCCCCTTTCTTCGGAGATACGCTCTTGGATATTTCGTGGACCAGCGACTTCATAGCACAACACTCTTCCTCCGAGTCTTCCGAAAGATCTCCGCCGGTTTGTCGACTCAGCGCAACGGTGTGCGCACTCTTCCCCTTCGAAGGAGATGAGAGATGAGTTGCGCGTTGTGCCACTTTCCGCTTCACAGAAGAAGAACGTGACATAGGAGTGGGTGCCGGTGGTTCATCGTCGCTATCACTTTCGCACTCATTGTCGTCGTCCGTGCTCTCCTTGTGGTAAACCTTTTGTCGTATAGACCTAGGAGGGGTCAACGGCTCGGGCTCATTTTCGGGCAGTCGTT